GCGAATAGGACACATTTGAATTGTTTTGTAACACTACAGATGTCATTTATATATAGAATGAATAATTTTGGTCCAAGCACTGATCCCTGTGGCACTCCATGGGTAATCTTCAGTGAGTTGGATTTTTTGTTGTTGAACTGCACATACTGATATCTATTTTCTAAATAACTTTCAATCCATTTTTATGCTATGTGTAGATCTGTTTATTATTGTTTTGTTGTACAGCCATTTTAACCTGCTGTCATACCTCCCGTCCAGAAGGTGTCGTAAGAGTTCTATTGTTGATTGCTACACGAGTAAGCCTGTAACACGTTCTTGGTGCTGCTGGAGTAAAACTATTTTCAAGCACATAAACGGACTGGTTCCTTCATATCAAAACTACATGGTGTCAGAAGTGGGATCCTTCAAAAAGTCTGCAGGGTCCACGAAGACAGTCTGTGCTGGTGGTGAGCAAAAAGGACGAGATTTTACCTCCGTGAAAAGGCAGTAATGGCGGACGGATTTCGGCGGCCTGATCCTCTCATCTTCGACGGCAATGTCTCTGAGAACTGGCGTAAGTTAATTCGAGCAAGAATATGATATATTCATAGCCGCAGCACACAGTGACAAAAATGCCAATACAAAGGCCTACATACTCCTCAATCTGGCGGGACCGGAGGCCATTGAAAGAGAGAGATCGTTCACATATTCCCCAGCAGTTGTGTCAGACCAAGGCGTGGAAATAACCGCAGGGGAGTCACGGGAAGATCCGACATGTTTGAAAAGGAAGTTCAAAGAAATATGCAACCCAGAAACAAATATAATAATGGAGAGGCACAGTTTCAACGTGAGACAACAAAAGCCAGGGGAAACGATTGAAGCTTATGTGAGTACATTACGCAACATGGCAAAAACGTGCAATTTTGGAGCATTACAAGATGAGCTAATCCGAGACCGATTAGTGTGTGGAATCAACAGTGATAGCATCAGACGTTCACTTCTTAAAGAAACTGAGCTGACACTTGCCAAAGCAGTGCGCATTTGTCAAATAAACGAGCTCACTGACCAACATAGCAAAGTGCTAGCTGCTCCAAAACACGTGGCATCAACAAGTGTGGACACTGTACAAATGAAGCACAGCCACACATTTAAAAAGACTCACAACCACAAAAAGAAACAAGACAAAATGGCGACAGAAATCTCAAATTGCAGAAATTGCGGTGGTTCACACGCAGCCAAACGTGACCAGTGCCCAGCTTTCGGACAACAATGTCACACATGCAAGAAGCCAAATCACTTCAAGAGCCAGTGCAGGTACGCTAAAGCACATGCAAGAGGCAAACAAGTCAATCAAATATCAAGGATGATTCAGAAAGTGATGAAACATTCACTATCGAGCACCTAACACTGGAGGGTGAAAATAGTCACAAAAAAGAAGGCTATTGTTCAGTTGCAGTTGGAGACAAGATTCTAAAACTCAAAGTGGACACCGGTGCGAAGTGTAACGTGATTTCTCTGAACACCTGCAAGGACATGTTTCAGCGTGAGAAAAT